TAAGCTTTTCGAGCCAAATGCAACAAGCTTCGAGTTCTGGCAACCGATTTCTCAGAATGACTCGTTAGCTGAGCAGTTGCCACGACCGACTTTGCAGCCGAAAGGTTCAGCATATTCATCAGCTGCTCCCTCGGAGTTGCCGAGCGTCGTCCGGCATGGAGCAAGGGGCAATGACTCCGCGGCATTGCCCTGCAGCGGCAAAACTTATTCGTGGATTTGCGCACAGGTTGTCGCCCATTTGGGTGACTCTGCTCGGGGCCATACGCGCCAATCTTGCATTTGCCACATTTCGTGCCCGTCAAATCTTGTGCAAAACCCAGTTTTCGCAAGAAGTGTCGAACCTCGTCGTCCGACATCTTCGCAAGATCCACGAGATTCTTTGATGCGCGAGGCCGCCCCTTCTTCTTCAGATTGGCCGATTTAGACATCGTGCGCGACGCTCGCGCACGAGCCGGACGTTTCTGGCCCCGCGAGCGCGCATTTCGCTTTTTTGTCATTACCTTCAGAACCTTTTCTGAATCCATTGCCATCGCGGCCTTAACAGCGTTTCTGGATAAATCTCCTTATCAACACAATCTGGCAGCCTGCCTGATGTCTGAGCCAAGACGGCAGCGGCGCAAAAGGGTCGGCGCGGTGACCGCAGCAGACACAGCACAGAGCACGACCCCCCTCAGCAGAGCCGGCGATTTTTTTCACTCGGCTAGCGCGCCCCCGCAGCTAAGATCAAGCTCGATGCTCCAGTTGTACATGCAATGGTCAAGGTAGACGCATAATCGCAATTATACGAGAAATGATTCGCCTGGATCGCGCAAGCCTCTGTGCTGGCATGGCAATCCACTACAGACAGGTGCGACTCCTGCACGAGCCACGTTCTGCTGCAGGTGGTGAAGTGCTCAGCGCAATGTCACTGGCTGGATCTCCCACCACGCGCCAGTATGTGCGCGCGTCAGCTGGGGCATTGCCCACTACGCGGCAAAGTGCAAGCTCCCAGACCACTTCCTGATAATGCCATCGTCGAATATCCATCCAGCCGTAGGGCTTGCGACTGCGCAGCCAACCGCATGCCCCGCGACGGCGCCAGCAGGGCGGAATGTCGCCGCATAATCACTCGGCCGTGCCCCAACAGAAGGACGGCATGACGCATCTTCTTAACTATAGCCCAGAGGAGCGATCATGCCATCAGGAACTGCGGCTTCACAGAACCGAAAGAGCCACCGATCGCGTTCCTCAGCTCATCGAAGGCGATGCTCGCGCGATCGCCCGCGGGCGGCCCCGTATCCTCATCGAACATGCTGCTCAGGGTTGCTCTGAATGAGTTATTCATAAATTTAGCAGGACTGCACCGCGTTTTCGTGACCAGCCCAGTTCCCCCAGCATTCAGGAAGACGAGGGCCTCCTCGATGCCCATGGTCAGCCAATCTGGGTCGTCGCAGATGGCGCCAATCTCAACGTCGCCCGCGCGGCGGCGGAACACTTCGAGATACTTCCCGACGCGGAAGCCCGCCAGTTTGGCTTCGCGGTCGCGAGTGCGAATGTTCCAGCGACCCTGCGCCATGGAGAGAGTTTTGGCCAAGGGCGTCTTACCGAGACCAGGATAACCCACATGACTGACCACGGCTCGTCAACAGCGGTATAATAGCTGTAAGAATCGGATCAAGGAGTCAGAGGTGAGCCAGGGGAACGAGCGCACGACGTCAGCAGCATGGGTACCTTTTGATTTATTGTCAGCAGCCTGCTTGATAACACTCTTAGGCCAACCTTTAAGCGGAGCGCCCTCCAAGTGCGTGTTCTTCAGAATCCACCTGAGCTGGTCGTTCCCCCTGGCCTCGGGCATTCGGCGTCGATCGGCGCCAGGCCCTCGGTGATGTCCTCAGCCGTTGGTTGCCGCCCCTTGCTGGGGTCTTCTTCAATCTTAGCGCGCTTCGCAATCTGATCTTCAATCGCTGCCCAGAACGCAGCCATGCCTCGTGCGCGGTCCAAGATGCCCTGGATCGCCTTCTTGATAGCCCAGGGGCCTGGGCGGAATACTGGAATGCGCCCGGCCCCCGACAGCAGATTCCGCGCCGCGTTGATTCGACAGTGCATCTCGCCGCCGAAGTCATAAATCTTCAAGACGATCTTCCCTCCATCGGGTTGATCGCTGATGACAATACCAACTTTGACATATCCTCGGAGAGGCGAGCGTGGCGAGACATGCCGGGGCAATCCACCGAACTGCTTGCCTTTCACGAGTTCCACGACGTCGATCTCACTCAAGGCCTCAGCTGAGACCACGTTGTGATCGAACCGGACGCGAGTAGTCTTGGCGCTCGACATGTTACGAATAGCTCTTTGTAAGAACTGGTCCATGGACACGGGATCGGAAATGCTATCCTCTCCATCCTCTGCGCTGTCTCGCACGCGAGGATCCTCTAAGGGCTGCAGTGTCCATGGAGCACCGAGTCCGTAGTATTTAAAGGCATCGTCGAACATATGTTGCGCTGTGGCGTCCATGGTAAAGGGAAGCATGCACCTTATGATCCGATATGTGAGCTACGCAGGCCAATGCTTTCAACAGTGCTTCGCATGTTGCCGATTGCATTGGATGTCTAGACTTAGACACATCCCAAGACATTGCATGTAGATACAACGAACCCTCTTACACAGAACATCCAGAACCAGATTTTACCCAGAACCAGCCCGAAAATCTTTGAATATCTGAATCTTTGAATCCTCAAAAACACAAGAGTCAAATGTTCAAGATTCAAAGATTCCCTAGATTGTCTTTTTGGCAACATCTGGAGTGCCTGGACAATCTTTGAATATTTGAATTTTTAATTCTAGACGCTTCGCGTCTCCCCGTCAGCCCGTCCAGAAATGAGTCCCCGGGGAGTGGAGGTTATGAGGGATTTGGGGGAACATGCAGATGAACAAAGGGCGGGGTGAGCCGCCATATGCCCCAACAGGGGGAGGACGTAGGAGGAGCCGTCGTCGTCGGAGTAGGAGGAGGAAAAGGAGGAGCAGGAGGAGGAGCAGGAGCAGGAGAGAGAGGAGGAGGAGGAGGAGGAGGAGGAAGAGGAGGAGGAGGAGGAGGAGGAGGAGGAGGAGGAGGAGGACATGAGGAAGAGGAAATGGAGGATTGCGAGGACGAGGAGGACGAGAAGGAGGAAAAGGAAAAGGAAGAGGGAGGAGGAGGAGGAGGAGAGGAGGAGGAGGAGAAGGAGGAGGAGGAGGAGGAGGAGGAGGGGGAGGGGGAGGAGGGAGGAGGAAGAGGAGGAGGAGGAGGAGGAGGAGGAGGAGGAGGAGGAGGAGGAGGAGGAGGAGGAGGAGGAGGACAATGGCGAGCCTGGGGGCCTCTTGGGCCGTCTTTGGGGCCTTTGGCGGTCCCAGGGGCCTCTTGCGTATATCGGGGAGCCTCTTGTGGCCTCTTGGGGGTGTTTTGGGTGCCTCTTGGAGGCCTCTGGGGCCCTCTTGGGGCGTTTTTGGGGCGTTGTTGGGAGCCTTCGGGGCGCTCTTGGGGCCATGTTGGAGGAGATCTATCAAAAAGGGGGGGTCGTATATTGCTTTGCCCCTTTAGAGTGCCTCGAATCGCCTCTTGGGCCCCCCCCAAGAGGCCAAAATCCTTCCGAAACCTAGGGAAATCCATGTGTTGTGTTTTTTTTTCGTTCTTGGAGCCGTCTTGGTCCATCTTGGGAGCCTCTTGGGGCCTTTTGGGGGTCTCTTGGGGGCCTCTTGGAGGCCTCTTGGGGGCCTCTTGGGGCCTCTTGGGGCCCTCTTGGGGCGGTTTTGGGGCGCTCTTGGGAGCCTTCGGGGCGCTCTTGGGGCCATGTTGGAGGAGATCTATCAAAGAAGGGGGGGTCGTATATTAGCTTTTCCCTTCTAGAGTGCCTCGAATCGCTTGTTGGGCTCCCCCAAGAGGCCAAAATCCGTCCAAAACCTAAGGACATCCATGTGTTGTGCTTTTTCGTTTTTTCGTTAGTGGAGCCGTCTTGGGCCACCTTGGGAGCCTCTTGGGGCCTCTTGGGGGTCTCTTGGGAGCTTCTTGAAGGCCTCTTGGGGGCCTCTTGGGGCCTCTTGGGGCCCTCTTGGGGCGCTCTTGGGAGCCTTCGGGGCGCTCTTGGGGCCATGTTGGAGGAGATCTATCAAAGAAGGGGGGGTCGTATATTAGCTTTGCCCCTCTGGAGTGCCTCGAATCGCCTCTTGGGCCCCCCCAAGAGGCAAAAATCTGTCCAAAACCTAAGGACATCCATGTGTTGTGTTTTTTTCTATTTTTCGCTCTTGGAGCCGTCTTGGGCCACCTTGGACGTCCCAACGACCCGCGGAACCCCTCGTCCAGGTCGGTGTGGAGAGGTAAGGGGAGGGGTAAGCCCCTCCCCGAAGGGAAAGAAGGGGGTTGGCAGAGGAAACGCTCTAGACCACCTACGCCCTAAAGGGCTGGTGGGATTTTCAGGTTTTATAGAAAGAGGGGGTCACATAGGGATGGGCCAGGTATGTATGTATATGTATGTATGTATGTATGTATGTATATATATGACGTTCTTTGCAGATAATTGTGCTTCACCTCTCTTCGAGCACGACCGTACACATTTGTGCTCTGGAGGTCTTTCGGCAGGAGTCACGTCCGCGCATGGCCGCTCCCGTGTACCTCTTCGAGGTCGGCGCGCGCCTGGCCGAGCTCTGGCTGCTGTGGGGGCACGCGCGCCCGCCTTGCAGCTGCCCGCCCTGCCCGGCCCAGACCTGCTCGCTGACGCGCAGCGGGCCAGCCTCCAGCCACAGCGAGCCCTGCTCGACATCGGAGGCGCCGGGAGGCCCCGGCTGGTCCTCCGTGTGGCTGGCCGCGGCGGCTGGCGCGGGCCTCGGCTGGCTCGCCACGCGCTGCTGGTCTCCGGCGGGCCCGCTCGCCGTCGCCCTCGCCGCCGAGGTGCCGCCGGTCCCAGACCGCGCTGCGCCTCAGCCGCCGCTCGTGGCGACCGGCGGGCCAGTGACGCCGAGCCAGCTCGCTTTGCGGGCGTGAGATTGAGATGGCGGCCCGCCTCACGCTGGACCTGGCAGAGCCGCAGGTCCTCATCGACTTCCCCGACGATGCTGCGGGCCTGCGGTGGCATCACCGCCTCCTTCTCATCCAGACGCCCACGCCGGGCGTCTGGATCGCCAGCACACCCGACTACTCGGTCCAGAGGCTGGACCTGAACGTGCATCGTGTCGTCGCGCTGGCGCGCAACGGCCCCTTCCCTGCAGCTCAGTGGCATGAGAGCTATGTTTTCGACAACCCGATCCCCGCGGTGGACCTCGCGCGGATCAGGCAGCAGGCGGGCTCGCTCGCCCTCGTCCTCGGCCAGGTCGGCCCTGCGCCCGCGGCGCCACCAGGTGCGGCGGGGGTCTGGCGAGTCGCCGACCCGTCGCACCGCGCCTTCGGGGACGATATCCCCACCCAGGTCCTCAGCGACCCAGCCGCGTTCATCACCCCCGACGCCGCCGGCGGACGAGGACTACCTCTGCGGGCTCGTGATGATCGGCGGCTGCTGGACCTTCTGCCAGCTCGTGGTCGACTCCGATAAGGACGCCTGGGAGAGGGCTCTCATCTCCGACCACCGCAAGGACGCGCGGGTCGCGGGCGACACCCGCGACCCGCTGACTGGCCAGCGCCTCTCCTCGTTCGTCGACTCCTTGGCCCTCCAGTACGCGGCTTCGGACCCACCGTTCCCCCTCGGCGGCCAGAGGGTCGCTCACGAGTACATGCGGACGCTGCGCGCCACGGGCTTGGAGCGGGTCGCGCACCACCTGGACTTCGTCCACAAGTCGGGCATCTCGCCCAACAGCAACATCACGCGCGCACACCGTCGCCTGACCGACGCGCTGCACGCCTTCCAGCAGCAGGACATGCTGAACCTGCCCAGCCTCGTGGGCATCGAGGTCCTGGTGCGCTACCTCGTCCAGATCGGGATGGCGGTGGCCCGAAACCCTCGGAGCCCAGACTTCCAGGACCTCGACGCGGTCGTCGCCTCCACGGTCAACGAGTACGTCGGCCTCGTCTTGCCCGAGTACACGAAGTACATCGCCCAGATCCAGAAGGACGAGGCCTTCACTTTGAAGCAGCAGCGGCAGTGGTGCGAGGAGCAGATCTCGCGTGCGAGGGGCCGCGGCTCGGGTCATGATGACGGACGCGGCGACGGCGGCGGAGGAGGTGGCGGCGGCGGCGGCCGCGGGAAGGGCCGCGGGCGCGGCCGCGAGGGCGGGCGCGGACGCGGCGGCCGGGGGGCTGATGCCCCGGCCGCCGCGGACGCATGACTCCCGTAGGCCAGGCCGCGGAGAGGCGGCGCTCGCCCCAGCGTCGCTCGGCCTTCGATTCCTCCGCGGCCTGGTTCGCTGGGGGCCGCGCGAGAGGCCCTGCCGCCGAAGGGGCTCCTCGATTTTTGACTGGCCGTGCTCACGGCGACCCCTTCCCTCTGCCGCTGCTCGGCAGAGCGACGCCGACGGGCGCGCTACCGCCCGGCACCTCGCGCGGCGTGCGGCGGCGGTGCAACCGGGCGATCATGGCTCTGAACGACCTGGGCGCGCCGCTGGCGGCTGCGCGGCGTCTCGCCTCGGCCTTGCCCGCGAACGCCGCCCAAGCATCTGTTCTCCAGCGCGTTCATCAGCGAGTGGCTGCCTTCGGCGAGCCGCTCGGCGAGGACGGTGATGATGCGCTTCACTCCATTCTCAAGTCCAAGGACATCTACAGCGCTCGGCCGACTCCCGTTCGCCCTTATGAAGCGCATCGTCTGAAGATTCTCGACAGCGGCACACGGCCGCTTCCCATCCGCTCGCTGGCCCCTGGCTCGCTGCTGCCGCTCATCGACCACCCCGAGAGGTACATCTACCGGTTGCAGGCGGTGCTGGACGCGATGACCGAGACTGGCGAGCTGGCCCCCGTGTACCCGTTCTGGGACGTCAACCTGAGGCGCGAACCCAAGCTCCGGCTCGACCTCTTCAAGAAGCTCATCCGCATCGGACTGGTGGGCGTGCGGGCCCGCTGCCGCGCCCGCGCCAGCATCTTCTTCGTGGGCAAGAAGGACGGGTCCCTGAGGATGGTCATCGATGGCCAGGAGCCCTCTGCCATGCACCGTCGGCCGCCGCGGACCGAACTCGGCTCCGCAGCCGCGCTCAGCGGCCTCTGCCTCGACGCCGACACGCTGGTGGACGGCGACTGAGGCTACCACGGAGCAAGTGCCGACCTCCGCCAGGGCTTCGACCTGGACTCCGTCTACGACGAGGTGAGCCGCTCCTACGTCCGCGTCGACCCTGACACAGTGGTCTACCCTTGCTTCCAGGGTCTCGCGATGGGCTGGAGCTGGTCACTCTTCATCTGCAATGCCATCACTGAGGACGTCACGAGGATTGGCATCGGCCAGGTCCTCTCGATTCCCGCGGACGCCGCCAGGGTCGTCTCCGAGCGCGCCCCCTGTGCCCGTCTCGGACGTGGCGAGCTGGCGGGGGCCTCGTGCGTCGACAACGCCAACGGCGCGCCGATCCACGTCCTTGGGGGCCGCGCGACCCTGCTGGGTCTCCGCCGGGCCACCCGGTCCGTTGCGGCCCATGGCTGCCGCGTCCTGTCGATAGGTGACAACCTCTCGTCCATGATGGCCTTCGAGAAGGGCAGGTGTGCCAATCCTGTCCTGCGGCAGCTCGCCTGCCAGGCTGCCGCTCGGCAGCTCGCCACGGGCACCCAGCACTACCGCCGCTACTCGGAGAGCAAGCGGAACCCCACCGACCACGACTCCAGGGCCGCCGACCGATTCGAGTTCGCGCCCGGCCAGACGCAGCGGGGCGCGGCTCGCGACCTCGGCGACTTCATCAGCCTGCCGCCCACGCCGCAGGCGCCGCCTGCCGGCCCAGCCGCCGCTGTCGGGACCGGCGAGCTGCCCTGCCCCCCGGGGCCCCCCGCGGGCCAAGGCGCTGGGCCCCACCTGCTTGGCGGCCGGCCGCGCTCCCGCGCCAAGGCTCGGTGCATCCTCGAGCTCTACGCCGGCTGCGCTCGGCTGACGGCCGCCTGCCTCGACGAGGGCCTCCAGGCTTGGATCCCCGTCGACATCTCGCGCGGTTCCTGGCGCGACCTGACCGACAAGAATGTGATTGGCGTGATCCGCTCGCTGATCGTTCGCCGGGATGCGTGGCGCGCCCACCTCGGCACCCCTTGCACGCCTTTCAGCCAGGCCACCCCAGCGAGGAGCAGGGCAAAGCACTTGGCCTCGGGTGGCAGCTCGGTCTTCTTTACGCTGGACATCCTTCGCCTGCGCGTTCGGTTCGGAGTTACATGGTCAGTTGAGAATCCTTCAGCGCCTCGTCTTTGGAAGTGTCCCGAGGTCATCGCTTTCTTGGAACGCCACCGTTATAATTTCGTTCACATGCATTACTGCCACTACAATTGCCGCTACCTGAAGCCCACAACCGTCGTCACAGATCTGAAGCCTCTGCAAGCCCTCGAAGCCAGTTGTTCCCGTGATCATGTTCACGAGGTCCTTGAGGGCCTGGTTCGGCTCGGCCCAGGGAAGGGCGCCGCCTGGAAGACAAGTCTTGCTGGTCGATATCCGGAGGCGCTGGCTCGAAAGTGGGCCGGCATCTTGCAAGCGTGCGCCCCTCGTGCCGCCCGGGTCGATGGCCCTCGGCCTCGATGCCGCGGGGGGGCTCGCCTGGCTGCCGCCACCGGCGTCGCCGACTGGACAGCGACGCCTGACCCAGTCTGCCCGCCAGCCGGCCACCAGGAGTGGCGTCCCAGCCGGGTCGTCTGGGGCAGCAGCCCCTCGCAGGCCCTGGCTGCCGAGCGGTGCCGCCAGCTCCGCTTCGGAGCGGGCCAGTGCCCGCCGCGGCCCCCAGCGCCAGCGGGTTCCAGCTGCGTCGGCGCGCCAGGCCTTGGCCGCGGCGCCGATCGGCCGACCCCGAGCGCGGCGGCCGCGGACGACGATCGGGGAGCAGCGCGCCGGGCACAACGACGTGGCCCGCGTGGACTTCCTCGCCAGGCGCCGCGTCAAGCCGCTGACCCAGCAGCACTACGCGAAGGCCGCGGCCGAGGTTCGGCGCTTCGCAGCCCCCCACCACTACCTGGTCCAGGCAGCCGCGCAGAGGGACAAGCTGATGGTGGACTACCTGCAGCACATCTTCCTGGCGGGCGACGGGATCTTTGCGGCGCGCACGGCCCTCTACGGCTACGCCTTCGAGGAGTGGATCAATCTCGCGAGGCGCCCGAGTTCCCGCAGGCGCGCCTGACGCTGAAGGGCTTCTCCAAGGCGGCCCCCGGCGAGCAGAGGGACCCCTGCCCTTGGGGGGCCGCGCGCTTGCGGCTCTCCGAGCTGCTGAGCATCAAGAGCTGCGACGTCACCTGCCTCAGGCACTCCGCGGCGTCGGGCTACCCCCAGGTCTCGATCACCCTGATGCCGAGCTCGCCGCCCGACGCGCCGCCGTCGATCACCGCGAAGTCGGGCGAGTACGACGACGCGGTTATCTTCGGCGGCGGCGGGCCCGGCACCGCGCCCCGTCGCTGGGTGGCCAGGCTGCTTCGCGACCTGAAGGCAGCCGCACCCAGCACCAGGCCGCTCTTCCCGTTCGGGGTCAGGGAGTTCCAGCTGGCTTTCCGCCAGGCGGCTGACGCCGCCGGCTTGCAGAGGCTCAGGCTCTGCCCGCACGCCCTGCGCCATGGCGGCGCCTCGTCAGACTTCGCCCTGAAGGCCCGAACCCTTGCAGTGGTGCAGAGGCACGGGCGCTGGAAATGCACTGCCAGCGCGCGGCGCTACGAGAAGGCAGGCCGCCTGACTCGCCAGCTTGCCAAATTGTCTCGCGCTCAGCTCTCAGCTGCAGCCCTCGCCTCTCGGAGGTTGGCCGCCAAACAATCGTTTCTCTTCAGCGGCCAGAGGTCAAGGTGATTTCGCTTTTGTTTCGCTCCCCACCAGCTCCCAATACGGGATGAATACGGGATTTCTGTGAAGTTTGCGTGCGCGCGCTCGAGTCTTCTCAGCTTCAGTTGTGAACTTTCTCTTGATGCACAGCTGCTGTCAGCAGTTCGATGCTTGTGAAAATGTGGATTTCCAACAGGCATCCGCCATCCCTGGTCGTGCGGGTGGGGGGCCCTGCATAATGACGTTCTTTGAAGATCATTGTGCCTCACCTCTCTTCGAGCACGACCGTGCACATTTGTGCTCTGGAGGTCTTTCGGCACCGTCCGCCTTCACCCACCGCCACCTGGATGTCCGTGAAGTTTGCGTGCACGCGCTCGGGTCTTCTCAGCTTCAGTTGCGAATTTTCTCTTGATGCACAGCTGCTGTCAGCAGTTCGATGCTTGTGAAAATGTGGATCTCGAACAGGCTTCCGCCATCCCTGGTCGTGCGGGTGGGGGGGGGCCTGCATAATATGTATATATATGTATATATATATATATATATATATATGCATATCGATATATACACACACCTATATATATACAAACGTACATACATACCTACATACAAATACATGCATATCTATACATAGAGATATCGGGTTCCAGCGTGACTTCTTGATTTATGTTTTGCGGAGCGCTTTTAATTTGACAAGGGACATTTGAATGATCGAGTTTTTCGTGCGAGTGATGATGGGATCGAAAACGGGTGTCACGCAAATCATGTCCGCGTCGGGCCCGTATTCCTACCCCAGCAAGATAGCGATGTGTCTCTGGCATGGACTAATATTGCTCGCAGGAGGCCCTTCAGGCGACCTCGCAAGGTAATGCGACCCAATCTCCGCGCACGGAATCCACATTAGGATTGTGATAGCGTCCCTTCGCATGGGTCCCACATTGCTCGTTGACCCCGTCGCGGCACGTCCGTCCCATGGGGCTTCTATGACTGGATATAGCACGCCCCTGTGGCGACGTATTTCCCGCGTCCTTCAGCATTCGAGCGGTGTACGCGCACTCCTGTACTGCGCAGCGTGTAGAGTTGGCGTTGTTTACGATATTCGAATCAACAATAATTGAGTGTAGTTTGATTCCTTTGGGGTACAACCAAAGGTTGCAATGTCAAACCAACGACAACAATCAGGGGTCATTATGCAATAAGTGTGTGTGTATGTGTGTGTGCGAGTGTGTGTGTGTATGTCCCGCCCCCAAGATCATGGATGGGTTTGGCGTACTGGAGTGATGGTAGCAACATTTTGGCGATGGTAGTTCTACAACATAGTCGTGCAGCCGTGTGCCCGTTGAGCTGGATCATGACTACGCGATGTCGTATTTATCATAGCACGCTAGTGTAACGAGGTTTCGGAGCAACGCGTTGCACGGTATTTGATTCTGACGGTGAGGAGTTTCGCCAGCAGGATTTGTGTCTTCCGTTCTTCGCTCAGAAAGCTGCCTTTGGCCCTTCGTGATTTTCCTGCGACAGCTGTGCGTGGCACAGATTGGAGGGACACCTTCCGTGAACATCTACGAGACCACGGTGCAGGTCACCACCCACCAAACCACCCCAACCCAACCCGAAGGGTCAGATTTACCCTCGATTTCTAGTGGGGGGGGGGTCCGGGAACATCGAAAAAACACATATGGAGCCCATACCCCCCCCAACCCGAAATTCGGGTCTTCGGGTTGGGTTGGGGTGGTCTGGTAGGTAGTCAGCAGGGGCCCCCGCCCGCCCGCGCCGACCCTCGAGGGCCCCGCTCCGGCGGACCTGCGCGCTCCGCTCCGCTCCGCTCCCGCCCCGCGCTGCCCTGCGGGGCCCCTCTGGCCCGCCCGCGCTGCCCGCAAGGGGGCCTTGCCGGCCGGCGGAGCCCGCACGCTCGCTCGCCCACGCAAGTGTCAGGAGGGAAAGAAACACACAGACACTATTAATCCTCGATTCCCAGAAAATATGGGAACATATGGGAATTGGGGGGGAAGACAAAAACCCAGAAAATGTATGGGAAAATATGGTGCGTATTTTTATGTGTGTGTATTTATTTGTGTGTCCTGGGGCCCCTTCAAAATGATGAGCGACAGGCGGACTTGGTGGTGAAGTTCGCGCAGCTCTCGGATCGGGTTAGGATCAGGATCGATCTGTTCCAGGACGTCCTGGACGCTCTGAGAAGGCCGCGGCGCCTGAGACATCTTCCAGGGCCGCCGGATATCAGAGATTCTCGATTTTTCCTTACCCGATTGTAGCCTCGTCTTGGCTTCGGCTTAATCCTCTGGTGAGGCTGCGGCCTCCAAGCCGTGCCCTGACGGGCACGGGCGAGCTCCCCAGCGGAGTGCGCGCGATTCTGGCGTTCGTCTTGTCTCGCCTCGCGCTCCCCCCCTTGCCCGGCGAAACCCTGGTTCGGTTCTGTTTCATTTGGTTCACTCCCGCGTTCAATCCGGTCCAGTCCAGGGCGGGTGGCAATGGGTTTTTTTTTTCCTGGGTGGGTGGAGAAAAAGGCCCTAACGGGGCCTTTTAGGGCCCCCTTTGGAGCCAGCCAGACCCCGGGCCAAAAAAAAAAACCCTTTAGGTTTTTTTCCCCCACCCACCACTTAGGTCACCCCCCATGACCACCGAGCCCGAGAAACTTGCCCGATGGCCCGCTTATCGGGCTTAGTATCGTTCTTGGAGGGCCTCCCAGGAGCTGCTTTCTCGGACCCCTCCCCCACGCCCTCCCCCCTTCCCGGCGGCGGGCGGCCCACGAGAGGACCTGAGCGGGGCCTGCTGGAGCGGCGCGCCGTGCCCCTCCGGAATCTCCCCGCGCTGCCGCGCCGGCCTTGCTGCTATGAGCGAACGGGCAAAAGAAGGTGGGGCGGTTCGACCGTCCTCAGGACGTGTGTTGGCCAAATGCGTGTGTGTGTGTGTGTGTGTTTGCTATGTTATGTTGTGCTGTATTTTGTGTTGTGTTCTGCTGTGGTGGGCTGTGCTGGTGTGTGTATGTGTCTGTGTAGGCGTCTCGTGTTGTGTTGTGCCGTGTTGCGTTGAATGTTGTTGTGTGTTGTGTGTTTGTGTTTGTGCGTTGGTTGTGTGTGGGGTGTACGTGTGTGTTTGCGTGTGTTCGATCATCTTGTGTGCTGGCCAAGTGTGTGCGTGTTGTGTTGTGTTGCGTGTGTGTTGTGTTGTGTTGCGTTGTGGTGGGCTGTGTTAGTGTGTGTATGCGTGTCGTGTCGTGTTGTGTTGTGTGTTCGTGTTTGTGTTTGTGTTTGTGTTTGTGTGTGTGTTTGTCCAACGTTGGTGATATTTGTATGTGGTGTGTGTGTGTGTTCGCGTGTGCTCGATCATCCTCAGGATGTGTGTTGGCAAAGTGTGTGTTGTGTGTGTTGTGTTTGCTGTGTATTGTGTATGTGACACTGTTTGTGGTCGTGTTGTGTTCGTGTTGTGTTCGTGTGTATTGTACGTGTGTGTGTGTGTGTTTGTGCTTGTGTCTGGGTTCGGTCATCCTCGGGATGTGTGGTGGCCAAATGTGTACGTGTGCTATGTTATGTTGAGTTGTGTTGTGGTGTGCTGTCTTCGTGTGTATGTGTATTGTGTGACTGAAATTTGTTTGTGTGTGTGGTGTTTGTGTGCATGTATGTGTGTGGCCGATCATCCTCAGGACGTTTGTTGGCTAAATGCGTGTGCGTTGTGTGCTGTGTTGTGTGTGGTGCATGCGTGTGTGACTGTGCGTGTTTTTTTTGTTTCGGACTTTCCACAAGCCTGCAGTCGACGCGCACAGACCAGCGGCCCTGGGCACCCGCAGGAGCCCATACGGCGCGCAGCGCCCGACTACCGTGCAACAGTCAACTGCACACTGCCGCCGAAGTTCTCCAGATGATTTCACAGCCCCGCTGACTCCAGCGACCGGCTCGCCCCGGAGCCCCCGCAGGCTGCGGCCGGCCGGGCGGCGCCGCACCCGGTCGGCTCTGGTCGGCCTGGCGGGCCAGCCGGGGCACGCCCGCGCCGGGCCCACGGCCCTGCCGCGCGCGGCCGCGCCGCGGGCCGTGCACGCGACGTGCCCGTGGGCAGCGACGTGCCGGCCAGCCGCCCGCCCGCCCGCAGCGGCCACTCCCGCCCCGTGCCTGCGGACTCGGCGGCGCGGGCGACCCGGCCAGCCTCGGCGGGCCCGCGGCGCTGGCCGCGCCCGCTCTCGCCGCCCGAGCCTCCGCAGCCTGCTCCTCCTGCGCAGTCACCTGCAGCGCGCATTCGGCGTCGGCCACCGCCGCGCTCGCGGCCTCCTCCAGCTGCTGTCCGCGCTGGACCGCGCGCAGCGGATAAGCTACCTTTGACTCGCCGGGCTGCCGTGAAGTCATCCTGTCACTCGGGCCGGTGGCGCCGCGGCTGGCTCTGCCTGGCTGCTCGTGCCCATCCGCTTTCCCAGCACTGTGATCACGTGCGGGTCCGCAGGTGAGTCCAGCCTCCTCCACATTTTCGGCACGCACCTGCTGGCATAGAGGTGCTGCTTGGATACAGCGGTGCGAGCCTGCTTGCCGCAGGCCTGGCACCTCACGCCGAAGGCCGTGGCGACCAGGTCGTGCGGCACCAGGTCCAAGGGCCGCAGCGCCCTGGACTCACCCTTTCGAGCAGGCCGCTCGGCAGGCTTCTCCTGCATGTCGTCCCAGACCGCCACCCGCTCGTGCCACCAGCCCACGTTGTGCAGGGCCCACGTGACACGATCACTAGCCTCCTGGATGGCAAGGTCTCGCCCGAACCCCGCATCCATCTCGGCTGCCAGCTTGGCGAGGTGATCGACCTCGTGGTTCCCGATGGCCGCCCGTCTCTTCTGGCTCTCCAGGGCAGCGATCGCGGCCAGGCTGCGGTGTGCCTTGCAGTGCTGGACGCTTTCGATGGGGAGCTCACGGTCCTCCACGCAGAACCAGGTCTGCTTCCGCACGTCGGCGTGGGCCCGCTTGCTGCGGCAGCACCAGGCTCGTCCTCGCCGCAACCCCAGGACGATGACTAGGTGGTCGGTGTATACCTCGCACGGCTCCGCGGCCCCCGTGGCGGCCGTGCGCGCGTGCCGAAGCACCTGCAAGAAGGCCCTGGTCCAGCAGGGCCACGGGCAAGGGGCCCCAAGCCTGGGCCCTCGCGCGGCCCTCCGCGTCGACCGACATGGCCGCCCAGCCCGTCTGGCCCCACGGTGACCGCCCCAGCTCGGAGCCGTCGCACACGACGACCTCTTGGAACTCCAGCTCGGCGCCAGGGGACGGCCCCACCTCGGGCTCGCCGCTCGCAGGAATGTGCTGAGGAGCGGCTGCCCCAGAGGCTTCGGCAACGACACCGCCCGCCGGCGGGGCCGCCAGGGTCGCCGGGCGGGCGGCAAGGGCAGCCGCGGGCGCCGGGGCCAGGCTTCTGGGCCCAGACCGCGGCGACCCAGAATCGCTCCAGCACGCTGCCGGCGCCCAGCCAGCGGGCGCGCCGCCCTCTCCCGCGAGCGCCTGGGCCGCGCCGGGAGCCGCCGGGGGACACCCGGACACCCGCGGCGAATTCTGAGCGCTCCTGCCCGCGCGCTCATAATTCCCTGGGCCGCCTCCGGGGCCGTCCGGGACCGCGCCGCAGCCGTCGGCGGGGCCGCCAGCGCCCGCGTCGCAGAGGCCCGCGTCGGCACCGCCAGCCAGCGCGGGCGAAACTTCGGCCAGGCCAGCAGCAGCGCCACCAGAATCGCGCCGGTACGCAGCTGGGGCCCGATCAACCGCCATGGGTTTCGGCCCATGGTCCATCCGCCCGCCTTTCTGACACCCACCCTGCACGATGACCAGGTCGTCGCCAGAGGTGGCCTTCGCCGAGGTCGGACTGCGCGCGCATTCGCCTCCTGGGGGCGTCCTGGGTGGCCCCGGCAGCCGCGTCCTGGGCGGCCCTGGCAGCCGCGGCGGCTGCCCCGGGAGCCCCAGCAGCGGCTCTGGCGGCCCCTCCGGTGGCCACGGCCGGCGCCCAACCCAAAAGTGACCTAACTTGCCTTAGGTCACTTTTGAAATCCGCCGCCGGTGGGGGGGCGCGGCGGCCTCCTGAGCGGCCACGGCGGCCCCGTCGGCGGCCCTAGCCGCTCCTCAGGCGGCTGCCGCTCTTCTAGTAAATATGCTCCTCTCCGCCTCATTCTGCACTTGCCTCTTCTGCTGCCTGCCTTGTCCTACCTTGATACTGACATGCAGCTGTTTGCTGCTCAAGCGTGAAAAGGAGCGCGCCAGCCTTCGGCCTGCGCCCGTCGTCGGTCGTCGGCCGGCCAGACCTCCTCCCTTCCTATACTTGAGTGCAGTTGTTTAACGGATAGTTTCATCGATGTCTCATCCCGTACCCTCTACCACTGAGCAGAGTCAACATGAGACCTTAGTTCCTTTGGCATCTTACCCCGGTTCTCAGAGGAAAGACTGGTTATCAGCCGAAACCCGCGACCAAGTCGCAACAGGGATGAGCTATCATGAGACAGCCGAATTGCCCGTCGGATCGCAAGTTGTACAACGTGACGGGCAAGAACAACAGGACAGCGGCCCGGGGAGGGGCCGCCTTCCCTCTTCTTCTAAAACCATTCGGATTTCTCGCGGAAGGGGTAGGGGAGAAGTTAAAGATTTGTCAGTAGATGATTCTCCCTCTCAAATTCCAATCGGCGATCGTGAACAGACCCCAGACCCGACGAGGCGGGATGGCACAACAGCTAATGTCAGACGAGGAGCCTTTTCATGTTGGATTGCTGAATCCTTTGAAACAGTACATTCCAGCCCGATTGCCATGCGGACTATCGTGCCGGCCGCTGGTCAAGCCAGTGGGTCGCGAGAAGCTGAGGAGTCCGGCGGTGTGTACCTCACCGTCCCAGACGGATGGGGGAACGCTCAAGGGACTCACCCCATCCCGATAGCCTTGAACGGACAAGCCGGCCAAGATAGTGATGAACAGCTTGATGATGAAGACGACATAAACTCCATGGAGGAAGACGTTGAATACGCCAACTATCAAGTATCATTACTCTGTTTTGGAATTTCCGCGAGATTGCCCGCGCCGCGCACAAAGCGGGGGGCGCTGTTTGCCTCGAATGACCAACTCAGTGTATTTATTGGAGGGATCCCCAGGGGAAAGAGTTCATGAGAGAACTTGAGTTTGTCAAAACGGCTTTGCATGGGCGTGCGTATGGATTGAGGGACAGCAAGGGTAATTTCATGAAAAAGCCTTGGGCGATTGCATCCACATCTCACGACGTGACGGAGGGACATGAGCGCAAGTGTGATGGCACGCATGAGCATGTTGAGGCCAGAGGAAGGGAGTGTAAGTCAGCGGAAGATTACACGGATGCCTTCGCCAAACAGGTTCACATTGTTGTTGCTCGTGCCGCGGGGCGCATGCTGTCGTCTCGTCGTCGCCCCGTCACCTCTTCTGATTCCATATGTGCTGCTGCCGTTTTGTCTCCAGAGCTTGCGCGGGCTGCCCTGCGGCCGGCCCCCCCCTTGGACCGCGCGGCCGCCTCGTTGCGGCTGCGCGGGCCTTGCCTGCCGCGGCCCTCGCGCGCCCGATTGGTCATTGGCCAAACCCATGTGCCAACCGCTGGGTACCCCAGCGGCTAAGCCGTCGGGGGAGGATCTGACTTCGGTTTGCTAGGATGATATTATTCCCCACATGCTTCGTGGGGTTATGGTTCTCCCCTGCCGCGCCGCGCCCGCGTCTCACCCACGCCCGCCCTCCTCTCTCTTTCTTCCTCCCCTCGCTCACACACGCACACACACTTCACTCTTCCCCCCCTCGTCACAGCACTGCTCAGCTCAACTCACCTCAGCACAGCACAGCTCAGCTCAGCACAGCACAGCACAGCTCGGCTCAGCTCAGCGTAGCTCAGCACAGCCC